TACTGTATTTGTTATTTCTCTTTTTACTTGAAGCAATAAAGTGTAAATAAATAAATAAATAAAATAAATAATGTTCACTACCGTATTAGTACAAATTATGCCAGTTGTACAATATCTTAAATAATTTAATTCAAATGTTGTCTACTGATGGTATGTCCATCCCCTGACAGACCAAATGCGACTAGAACGATAGAATAAATATAATAATTTAATTCAAATTGGATACAAGTTATTGAAATTCAAAATAATACTACATAATAAAATTACTGTTTTAATTTAATATTGTTCATTACGTTGCATCGTCAATTATATTTCCTATTATTACTGTCTACGGTCGGCCAGTAGATAACACCATGTGATGTTAAGTCCGACATTTACACTTTTTAGATATATTAAAGGTTCATAAATTAATAAATAATAGCATTAATGAACGACATATACTGTGATTTTTAAATAAATCTCGTCTGCGCTATTGGTGTAATCAGTGATGGATGATAAGCGAAGAGGAAAGCGTGTCAGTTGGTGCACCGTGACGAATTCGTCAAGAATTAACCACCATTTTTTTCAAGGATGAATTGCGTGTAGGTTAAATTAACATGTACTGTATATTATTAGCAATGAGTCCACTGGTCCCCGTAATTTCCTCCGAGATTACATATTTGTAAGTTCCCAATTGCAAGAATCCTGGGCACAGCTTGTCTGTCATTCAGTAGCAAGGAAGGGAAGGGATTCCTTTTAATGCTTACTATCAGCCTCATTAGTAGCTAGATCAACCTTTGCACAGTCCCTCCATGAAAGCCTCGTGCTGAATTCCAGGTGTATTCATTACGATGAGCTAACTGACCTGCCTTTCCATTCTCACTTATGAACCCTTATTGGTGCCCCGCCAGTGGGTACCGTGTGCACAGCAGGGTCCTATTATTATCCATCAAAAAAAGTCAGTAACAAGGAATGAGCTCAAGATAGTAAATAGCTGAAGTGATGATGATGATGTACCTGCCTAGTTATTAGTCTTAGACTGATGTTTAAATATAATAATAAACAATATACAACGGAAGGTGATTGCAGCGGAAACTACAGCGAACGTGATGCAATGCGTTCCATCTCACAGGTATTTGGAGCAGTACGTACTGCACTCGAAGTAGATTGTGGAACAAAACATAAGCAGTACGCGAGTTTAGATTCAAACATAAACAAGTAACCTCAACATTGATACACAACCATCGAGCCCCCAACCAAGCACACTTACAGTCCAATATTTTTGATTTGACGGATCTATGTCGACTCGACATTTATTTGACAATTGAGAGACATAAATATATATTTAAATTCAAATCATCTTTATTCAAATAGACTTGTTTACAAGCACTTTTAAATTGACATTATTTTTTAATCTACTGCAGAGTTCAAGAAGTTTGTTATCTGTTGAGAATAGCCTGCAGGAATCTCAACAGTTACTCTTTCCAATCTCTGTTAACATTATGTATATTTATTTAAATATACTATGTTTAAAATTACATAGTGGTTAAAAGCCCGTGCATAATTAATTAACACCATGCACACTTGTCATTCAAATAACTAAACTATCGACTATCTTGAGCCACCTGCATCCACCTTTAGTGTACGAGTATAATAGGGGACGCCAAGCGATGAGTGATCATGAGTAGTCAAACAGTAAGTTATTTAAATATGATAACTCCTAGATCATAATAAGTATATTTTGCTCCGCAAAAAAAATCTAATCAAATTCTTTATTTGCAAGAAATACAGGTTATTATGATGTTACAATACAGAAATAATAAAAGCACATGCCGCGTTCTACCCATAAAGTGGGCAAAATTTAAAAGAAAATATATTCGTGTGTTTACTAATATTAATTCAATTATTATAATATAAAAAACAAAAAATATTATAAATATATTATTGCGAGTGAAATTTATCTATTCCATGGATTACAATTATGTAAAATGATTGTGACATTTTATATTATAATAAAAAAAAGACAACATTACAAACTGAAATAAGTTAGAAGAAGTCACACTTATGCAAAATATCTATAGTTTATTGTCCAGAAATAGCCAAATACTAATAATATACCTTATCAATGAGCAGTAAAATTGACTTATTTAAAAAAAAATACAAAATGTCTCTGCCTCTATGATAGAACGCAGAAATTTATTATATATTTTTGGGTGAAAAGAAAGTTACAAGTGATAAAATAATTAAATACACGAATGACCGATGATGTATTTCATGGATTTAGTTAGATTCAAATTCAGATCGTTCATTACATTGTAAATATTCAAATTTTAAATCTGGAATTAAAAGTGTGGGCAGTAGAATTTTCTTAACGACAAGCAGAGTTTTACTTTGCAATGAAAACAGCGGCTTCAATCGTCAAAGAGTTAGTGTGACACCAACACGGAAGGAGATTGTGCTGATTAAACAAATAATTACCAAAATCGATTCAGAATTAGCGATGTAACATCTACTGAGAACATAGAGACGAATTGGGAAACTCTTCGTTTTCGAAGTCACTAAAAAGTACTTTACGACAGCTGTTAACGTGAACTCGATCTCATTAAAAGTTCGCCGCGTGTTTGCTTTTTATCAACTGCCCGTTGCTGTCGATGAGTCAGCGCGTCAACGCATTTTAATGCATTCCCGGAATCCATTGTGATTCAAAGTGAAACAATTCGTACAAATGCGCTTTTTTTAGTTCGGTCGCTGGTGAATGACTCTGTGCGAATTTTCATTGGCTCCACGCCTCGAGTCGTTCGTTACTGTTATTAATGAATTACATGTGATGGACAGGTTAATATCCGCTCTGCTCCGTTGCTAGCAATAAACTATTAGACGTGTGAACACCACGCAGTTGTCTCCGGAAACCAACGTGTTTAATTTCTGATCAATTTGTCACGATGAGCAAATTGATCTGACTTCATCGTCTCTTATCATCACTGTATTGTGTGTTATTAGTGTATACCGATAGTGCAGACGAGGATACCGTCTTATTTTTATGAATTAACAAATTATACATTCTATTTATTTAGGTTACTTCGTATCGTAAGTACTTACCGAGACATGATCGCACACCTACGAAAATCTTTGACCCCTTATCCTATACGCACTTGATCGATTTTTAAGCGACTTTAAAAATGGCCAGGTTCTCAGTCGCTTATATTTGTTTTTCATGAGTAAATGTATAATGTGATACCTTATCTCTGTTTAAAAAAAGTCTACTTCAAGCGTGACAAAATTATCGGATCAGTACAAGAGTAAACCCTAACGACCGCAAGATCGTCAGTATATCTATCATGAATTGGCAAAGACGAAGAAAGAATAAAACTACACAAAAATCTAGTCAAAATGAGCACTTCCTCCTTTCGAAGTCAGTTAATTACTACATATAATGAACTTCTACCTTCATATACAAACGAAGCTATCGTCCAACGATCAGTAGATGTGCTATTTATATTTTGAGAACTAATACATTATTAGTATAATAATATGCGGTCGGAGAATTAGTTTACTTTCTAATTATTTATCCATAAACACTAAAACTAATAAACATATGGAAACATCAAAGCATTGTTTGAACAGATGAAGGACGAGCGCGCCGTTATTATAAATACTGGGCCGTCGAACTCGCTTCGATTTTTATTCGTTATTCGACTCACTCTTGACGTTTTTGTTTGATTTCTCCACGTGCCTTTGTGCACATTAAGAATATGTTGGATGCCTCAGTAAAGCAATATATTACGCGGAAGTAAGAACTTGAATGGAACTGTTCTAGTGGGGCATCCTTTATTGCATTGGACAATAAAACTTTTAGCACGTTGTCTTTAACTCTGGAAATATTCTCTTTCTGTTATATACTATAAATAGTTATTTCACGCGGTTTCGTCCATATGAATTCCTTTACTCGCGATTTCATGGGAATTTCAGAATAACTTTGTTACCATACACCTACGTTATTTTAGGACCTAAGTAAAAAATTAGACGAATTGAGAATCCTCTTCTTTTGGAAGTCTGTTAAAAAGGGCATCCTACGTGGGTCCGAGGATGTAGGAAGAATGTCTGACGAAAGATTGAAGCTAGCAAGAGATGTATGTATGGTTTAGGGACAGAGGTTACTGGCACTCAGTATTTTCTGTCTAACCCGCTAGCGACTTGATTTAAAGATATATCGAGTTAACTGCCACATTAAGTGGCTCCGTAATTTCGACTGCGTGTCACTGACCGATATTAATGACTGTTTCTATGCATCATTCTTTTAAGTAAAGTCTACACGAAGGAACATAACCTTGTTTCTAGAATCCGTGCACAACTTGCGCAGATGAAAAGGAATAAATGAAGTCAATCGCTTTCAATTTGTTGTTCACAGACTAATGTTTATTTGTTACTCTTTACCAATGTGGAAACTTAGTAAACAAATACTTCACACATAGTTTATACACGCACGCCAAATTAAAAGTACCCGTAACCGGACAGCGTGTATGAAAAGATTGATAAATGTGAAAGAGGCGAAAGAGATTTGTTTGAATCGAATCATTCGGCGTTCCAATATTTCTGCCTACACTAATGGGAGACAAGCGTGACAGATATGTATGTATGTATGTATGTAGTTTATACCAGTAGGGCAAGAAAAATGCCATTTTGAACGCAGGTTCCTTTTATACAGTGAGAGAAATTGACGAAATTCTTAGGAACAAGGGTCCCATAGGTGCATAGCATTTTCTCATTTATTTGGTGTTGGCGTACTGCACAATAAATTAAGAAAATAGGTTCACAAATCATATAATACATGTGATTCTCTTTTCCCTCTAATTCCTGTCAGTATCGTTATACTTAATTTACTCCTTTGGTGTACTTTTAAGATGATATATCTTTTATTCTACTGTTTCGTTCACATCCATTGACGTCCTCGGAAAGAGAGGTATCATACGCTGAATAGATAGTAAAGTTGATCGATCAATAAACCTTTTTATTGTTTCCAGAACAAGATGAACATGCAAGAGAGTGGCGGCGAGGAGCCGGCGACCACCGCACCCCCCGCCGCCACAACTCCCACGGGGGCGGCCACCACCGCCGTCACCGCTACCGCCCTCGTCACAGGCACGGCCGCCGCCACTATCGACGGCACCGGACCCTTGATACCAGTACCACCTGCACCGAGAAAACCGCCCAGAAGAGGACCCAAAGTCCAGCAGGAGCGGCCGAAGAGGGCACTCTTTTGTCTGACCTTGAAGAACCCTCTACGGAAGCTGTGTATAGATATAGTTGAATGGAAGTATCCTTTTAAAAAAATATTTTGGTTTTTTGTGTAACGTTTTTAACTAACTCCAGAAGGGAGGTCCTCTGTGTATTCCAATATACCCATACTACCCACGTTGTATAATATTTTTTGCCGCTTTTACACTTTCTTCTTCGTTTCAATGGTTCAGGGATCAGATAGGATTGCTCTTGAGTGAGTTATTAATAGCTCTGTCATCAGTCTCATGCGAGTCCTGCACCACACTGTATTGATTTTGATGATAATTTTTGCAACCGATAAGGTTTAACCCTCAAGTTAATCCAATAGTAATTCCTTTTTTTCATGAAAGAAAAGTCAACATGGGTAAACAGAGGAACTTGTTGAACTTGAACTTGAACTGGGGGTGCTCAATAGGGTGAGACGGTATTTCACGCCAGAAAACCGCCTGAAACTATATAAAGCTCAAGTGAGGCCACACATGGAATACTGTTCTCACCTGTGGGCAGGAGCGCCACAGTACCAACTCCTTCCGTTAGACCGCATTCAAAGTCGGGCAGCTCGAATTGTTGACGATCGGCGTCTTACTATCCGGCTCGACCCACTGGAACTGCGTAGAGATGTTGCATCTCTGTGCATTTTCTACCGAATTTATCATGGGGAGTGCTCTGAAGAATTGTTCGGATTGATACCTGCTGCAGATTTTCACCATCGTACAACCCGCCATAAACTAAAATTTCATCGCAACCATCTGGACAAGTGGCGGTCCTCCACCGTGCGTTTTTCAAGGCACTTTCTCCCACGCACAACCACTCTTTGGAATCAACTTCCAGCAGCAGTATTTCCGAACCGATACGACAACATAACCTTCAAGAAAAGAGCATATTCCTTTTTAAAAGGCCGGCAGCACACCTGCAATGCCGTAGGTGTTGTGGGTGACCATGGGCGGCGGTAGTCACTTACCATCAGGTGAGCCGCATGCTCGTTTGCCCCCTGTGTTGTAAAAAAAAAAAAAAAACTTGTTGACTGTCGTCATTGTACTAAGAAAAACCATAAAATCTCTTCATTTTGTTAACGTACATGTAAAGAATAAAACGATCCAAGTATATATTTGTGGGGGGAAAGGGATTGTTAGTAATAGGGTCTAACTGATACATTGCCAGCAATACACTTTATCAGGTCGATCTCCACGTGGTTCTCCCTAGAAACCATCGTGGTTAATTCTAGTGGAATTCGGCACGATGGGTTAACTGACCTGCTTTCATCATTCACTGGTGCCCCGCCGGTATATACCGATAGCGCAGGCGGGGTTACCATTCCATTATCACCCATTTAAAAAAAAGTATATATCTGTTAAATAAATACGTAAGATATGAGTATAATACAAGAGTAAAAAATTTTACAACAAATTTTGTTCTTCCAGTTTATTTGGTGAATAAATAAAAATATTTAACAGAATTCTATCCACGATGCTAGAACGCAAACAAATCGAGCGAGAGTAATACGATTTATAGCTAGCTCGATACATATTAATAATAATATTTTGTATGTAGCAAACAGTTTATGGACATAAAAATCATTCGATATAAATAAATTACGATGAAGGATATATTGTGTTTTAAATTCGAGCGGTTCCTCATCGCGAGCGACGCATGTTGGCGCGCGGCCAAGTGTACCGCGGCGGGGCGCTGCTGCCGATTCTGCGGTAACCACGAGCAAGTGGACCGGCAGTTACTATTGGGGCTGCAATAAAATTAACAACCGTTAATGTATTTGGAAACATTTCTTTTAATACATGCACTGTGTGTGCGTGCGAGACTGTGTGTGTGTTAGTTACTTCCATATGATGGTGAGGTCTACCTTCCTTTTAACGTTTCTTACCCGATATAGTTAGAAGGTCTTTGTTTTACGTGTCTATTCCAACAGAACCCCCTCTCGTGCAGTTCAGCAAAAAATCTCTTTAGCCAGCGTACAATATAAAAAGTGACAATCGTTAAACCATAATTGAAGACTGCTCCATAATAAAACCTGCAATTATCATAAAGATAGATATATAATTTATTTGCATTACTTACAGCAAGTTACACAAATAACAACAGATATACACAGTAAAAAGAGATAAAAGTATGCATATATAAAAAAAAGCAAAATATAAAAAGCTCGTAACATTTTTTCTTTCATGCGTCTGCCATAGTAACACAATTGGTTATAAGTCGGTTTGTTATTTTGCCCTCAAAAGAGATAAACCCTAATAATCTGTTATGGGTAAAAGCTAGTTCTTTTTAAAAACAATATAAAAAAATAAATATAAATAAAATACATTGTATGTGTTCATTACATTCGCCACCATTTAATATTTATTCTAAAATTAAATAAATAAATAACAGCATTGGAGGAGGGATAGTCAGAGGTCACTTTTTGTCACATTCAAGCAATCAAGCGGTAAATATTTCCGCTAGATACCTATTAGGTATGCCAAATTTTTGTTTAATAATTAAAAACATTTTTAGCTCTTCTCTAAACATATGTTTAGTTTTAGACAATTTCATTGATACAATTATTGTTTAACCAATACATTAGCAAACCCTGTCGATTGGAAAAAATAAATAAAAATACAATTACGCACTTTCTAGGTCGAGAACTGACTGAAAAGCTTACACTCCGTTATAAAGGTACTCTGGTACAATGCCCGAACAGTATATAATGATTTAATTGTAGGTAAACAATGGAGAAAAAACTTGGTCGCTTGCCAGCAGGCACGCGGGCCGCTATGAATGAATGACGGCCGCGTGATCGCGGAAATTCTTCGCTGGTAATGACATTGTGCCATAACATAAGCGGTAATTTAATGAAATGCTTTGACTCTGACGAGAATTAATGTATGACGTTTCTCGGATACCAGTTTTTGGCAATATCTTCTTTAACATAAATCTTTATGACATTCTTTAAGATCGAGATATTTAGACGTTCCGAAACGATAGTATCCGGAGACCGAGACTCGTATATATTACTGACATATATTACTTATTTAATAAACAGTTTTTTTTTTTTAAATATAACTTCATATTTAAGACAAGACAAAAAAATTACTTGCGCCAGTACGCCACCTAAAACCCAAAAGTACAATATCCAAAAAAATATGTTCACAGTCGAGATCGAGCGAGCTCTTGGACATTTATCGTGAACTCTGTGATGTAAATTCCGTTTTCTATAAATTACAATTATAATTATATTAAAAAGAACAAAGTTTTTTTTTATACAACTTAGAATGGCAAACAAGCTGACAGCCCACCTGATTGAAAGTGGTAACCGTCGCCTGTAGACATAAGCAGCACCATGGACGTAACAGAGTATAGTGTTATGTCATGTTAGGGTCATCCTAATAATTTAATAAAAAACAGTTCGTTTCAAGTACAACCGGGATATGTCAAAAAGATAGTGCCTCAGTTGCAATGCATTGCGACAACTGCAAATACAAAACCTATATACGAGTATATAACATTAGACATTAGACAAATGTTGCAATAAAATATTTGGTTATTGCCTTCATATTTAACCTAACAGCACCTCATCATAACTGTGAAATTTTTGAACGCAATCTATTAGAATGAGTCGCAGGTTGTCGCGCGAGTTCATTTATCACCATAATTACGTACACGACACGCTACACGCGTTTTATCCGATGAAAGTGGCGTGTTTAAAATAACTCATGTGTCTGTTATCATAGAGATTTATAATATCTTACAGGTGCTATAAAACGAGCTTTATAAACACTTTAAATTAAACGTTAATGAAGTTTAATCGCGTCACATTCATCACTTTTTCTTTTAATTATGTTACCTGTAGGAATTTTCGGATTCTTATACATATAGTTTTTTTTTTTTTAATAAAATAAGGTATAGGACTTAAGAAATGCATTGCAGGGAGTCAGTGGATGCAGGCGGCTCAGGACGTCTTTTATGGTAGTCTATGGGGGAGGCTTATATCCAGTAGATAATGGCTGAAATGATGATGATGATGGTAGGACTTCAGGGGACTCCAAACGTTACCCTCACTACAACGCCAACAGCGACAAATGTCTCTGTCTACCCCATTTGATATTACATATTTATTTCATAGTTTATTCTCAATTAATTTTACACATATTAGTACTGTTTCCTATACTAAGCTGATAAAAAAGCTAAAACTTACTTCAAAACCATTTCTATTTTTTGAACGAATTTTATTTTTTCATATATAACAATTATGTGCTACTTTGGTCATATACATTCCTTTCCCGTGGGTCTCATAAGAGGCGACTAAGGGAACTAATTAGTCGAGGGATGAACAGCAGCGTCCTTTTTAAAAGATCACCAAAAGCCTAACTTCTGTTGCCGATCCGCCTGACAATGCATGGCAATTTTGTGAATGTTCATAATTATTTCTAGCTTGAAAAATATGATCATTTCGGACTTTATAACTGTGCGGTGTGCAGCCGGGGCGGCTCGCTAGTGCATACAAAAACAATAAATGAAACGTGCATATATAATTAGAAAGAATTAACTTTCCAACTTTCACTGGCAGCGGCGCGCTCGTGTCACCAACTTGGATCGTCCGCCTTTGTAATATTTATAAATAGATTAGCATTACAACGCGTAGGTAGTGTGATATTTCTGTACTAAATACATACCTACTTGACATCTGTACATAAGCAGTGCGTTATACGATGTTGGCTGATGCGTTGCCAAGTGGCCGCCGCCCGCACTCGCATCCACACACAACCAACACTACAGATGCACAGTACATTGCCTATTCACTAGTTGTAAGCCGCAGCTTTACTCACACCAATTATAAATAAAAGTATTTCTAGAATGTGATCCACCTGTGTACCAAATATTCCAATCAGTTCAGCTGTTTAAACCAGGTCATTCCACCACTACTGTATCACAAATACAGCGGGCTATAAAATGTATATAAAACAGAACGGAATGTAAATATGAAATTAAAATGTAGAGTTATGTTTAAACGCGCTGCGAACATATCTGTACTATTTATATCGAAGTTATATAGACAGTGAAGAGCGCCACACAGAGTCCTAACAGCCTATATTCCTAAGAAGCTACTACGAGTAGTATTTCTAACAACTTTACTACTAAACCACTCTTCCCACGACTCTATTTTTGTTTGTGTGGTCACTAGTTTGTCAATTTAATTCTATTCTCGTAACTTCCTGACTAACTCAAAATCTAAGATATAAATGCTTATCCTTGAAAAGGTCATGTGAAAATCATCATGACCTGAAAACACTTTCCATTAGGTAGTCGGTCAGCTTGTTTGCCATTCTAAGTTGCATAAAAAAAATAGAGTTACGCAATAGAATTGAAAGACATTTGTAAATTCAATATAATGAGGAATTATATTAAATCTTATATTTTTATAATCCGAATTCTTTGCATAACTGTTAGTATAAGAAATAGTAAATAACTGTTAGTGCATTAATTTATGTGTAGATGTGATCACAGCGTCATGGTACATCTACATCCAGACTAAAAATAAGATATTTGCCACAGAATTCAAATATCTGGATTTTTTTATAAATATATTACAAAATAGATAAATTTATATATCTAACAAGAATAATTTTGGTCAGTGAAATAGATACTATGCGTTTGTGTGCGAATCGATAAACTATTATTAACTTTATCTATTTCTAAGGAATTATGTCTCATGTCTTTGCGTATTCAGGCATTTTTTTGGTACAAACTAACGCCATATTTAATACTTTCTTAACAAACCTAAGGTCGTCGTAAATTCTTTAACGAAATTAATTAGTTTAGCAACAGTATTATTTAATAAAGTCTTTACGTCGATAAAGAAGCTGTTTTTTACTAAGGAAAATCTATTTGTATATAAGATTTAATGTTGTGCAAGGTATCGAGTATTTCCTTAAAACAGTCCAAATCAGACCTTTCGAGTGGATGATCCTGACGACGATATTCGCGAACTGCATAGCGCTGGCGGTGTACACGCCCTACCCAGCCAGCGACTCCAACTACACCAATTCAGTATTGGTAAGTTATTTAATCATTATTATTTATAGCCGTCTGGTCCCGACATAGATTGGGCCACCTCTTCTTTGCCCGTGGGTGTCGTAAGAGGCGACTAAAAGAATCGAATGGTCGAGAAATGGACAACAGCATCCCTTCTAAACCATCGCTGAAACTTAACTGTGTTTGGCAAACCACCTGCCAACTACTGGCAAAACACTCCTTAGGAGAGAGACCTATATTCAGCTGTGAACAGCTAACGGCTGACATGATCCACAGTACAAGTGTTCCAATGTTGGGTTAAGGTATCCTCAACTACTTTCTTCAAGTGCAAGTTCTTTTATACATTTCAATAATCTTATTTCAGTCGCCACGCTTGTTTGCATGCTGTGATCAGATGTGAAGGATGAGATAAAGTAGTACTAGTACTGGATACTGTGATAATTATGTAATTTCGCCTCTGATGTGGCTGACGTTCATAGGCTACAATCACCATTTACCACATGGCAGACCGCATGCTTGTTTGCCACTTTATATAATTCGTGACTGAGTAATGACTGCTTAGTAAGTAGTTATTTACAAATTCTAATCATTTGTTGCACGAATATGGGTAGATACATTAAATGAAAATATTTTATTTTTTATTAAAGAAAAACTAACAGATAGAAAATTACATCTCGTAAAAAAATCAGTAAAGACAAAAAGCCAATTACAGATTTTCACAAATAAAATCAATATTTAACTAATTCACATGACATTGGTAATTAACTTAACATCAACTAAATTAAACTTAGAGTAACAACATTATAGTAGTACACATACTATAGGGAGGCAGTTATACAAATATAATATAGTACTATGTATTATAAAAATATAGAGAGCTCTTCTTGTATGTTTTTGAAACAATAAACATACTTTAACGAAACAAGACTTGAATGCAATTAATGTCTTGAAACTTTACTGAAATTATGATTCACGATCAACTTGAGTGTGGGCCAGGAGAGCGTTGGCAATTCTATTATATTTATCACTCAAAAGTTTCCTTACACAAAATGTAAGAGAACGAAAAGCTCTCACAGGGAATGAGTACGGCGCGAAGCACACCTGCGCTGCGACGAACTGAATGCCATCCACACTGTCGTGTAGTACTAGCTTATTGTCTTGTACCAAACGTGTGTATTGCATAAATTCCTAAATAAGATCTACTCTACTCATATACTTTTTAGTCATGTTTTTTAGTAATGTTTCTTTCAAGTTGTTTGTAAAAAGAAATCCATGTAAGTGCTTTTAGTCATTCTATTAAATAGTTTCATGTATTTCTTTAATATTAACAAATGTTATATCTCTTAATAAATGCCAATTCATTTGACAGAAATGCGTTTTTTCTGTAATTGCATCTTTGTAAAATTAACAACATCTGAAATCCTCATGAAACATTCATCTGACAATCCTCCACAATTATTCTAGATACTGTATGTAGGGTGCCGGTAGCAGCTAATCCAGATACTGGTACCACAACTGGTCACAATACATTTCAATTTTGTAGCAAACCCCCATTTTTGGGCATCGTTTGATTAACTCTGATTTTCACAATATCAAAATCGCAATTATTGTGTGTTCACAGGAGAAGATCGAGTACGTGTTCCTGGTAATCTTCACTGGAGAGTGTGTAATGAAGATCATAGCTTACGGCTTCATCATGCACGCCGGCTCCTACCTGAGGAACGGGTGGAATCTGCTCGACTTCACCATCGTCGTCATTGGGTAATATGATTACATGATCTACAAATGAGTCTGAAATGAAATGGCATATTGATAGGGTCAATCGACAAGTCTCTTCTAATTGGCATCATCCCTACAATCGTGTGCCAAATCTTATCTTAGCTTGACGTACGAAATAAGGAAATTTGAAGAAGATAATGAAAAATGATGATTTTTTTTTAAATAAGCTGTTATTTTTGATTCCTATTTTTTTCTTACTTAAAGTTTAAATGCAGGTCCAGATCCAAAACACGTATACCATTTCTGAGGTTTAAGATATTCTGCTTTTATCTACTAAAATAATGTTACTGATACTTTTCAAATCGAAACATAGCGCTGCAACCCTAGCAGATGTCACTTATACAAACGGAGCCCAAAGCATATTAGTTTAGGTTCTGATAACTGTGATATGCCAAACTGTTATTTCTAGTCACCATTATTTCATCATCGCCCCGTATATCGGTTCGCATTCCTGATCACTGAAGCGAGCCGTTCTTATCTTGCCGATTACACTTACAAACTGGCGATTTTCCGCTCCGTTTCATGGCATCTCTTCTTAACTTTATAGTTATCTTATAAACTTGGCGTAGATATTATGCATACCGTACTTAACATGTAGACGAGGATGGTAATGAGTTTTAATGACCTTTTAGTTTCAAAGGGTTCAGCCTGCAACCCAAGTGAAACTTATGCCTTTAACTGAAAGTTGTTACTTTTTCTTAGTTTACTTGTCCATTGTTAGTGGCATTATAAATCTATTTTGTCTACTTTCCAGCATGGTGAGCACGGTGCTGTCTAGTATATTTAAAGACGCTTTCGACGTGAAAGCGCTGCGCGCCTTTAGGGTGCTGCGCCCCTTGCGGCTCGTCTCTGGTGTACCTAGTAAGTAATTTTTTTATTAAAAGTTTTGTAAGTATTTGTTTTGTATATGTATCATATTTTAATCTTAAATTATATAGATAGAATATCTCCATAGAAATGCTTAGAGAAAAATGGGTCAAATTTGTCATACAATTTTGCGTGATAAGTAGTTATGAGTGATTCCTTTATAACTTCTATATTTATTTTATCTTATAATTTCTGCATCTTTTTAGTGCGTAAACACTAATTTTCTTTATTAAATAATACAAGCAAGCTGTGTCAAGCTACATTTTATGCATAAGTATATAGAACATTGATTATAAAAACGAGTCAACTTATTTGGTAATTAGCTGACAAAAAGTTGACCCATTTTTAAAACTTGATGCTCTCTCCATAAAATCTACGATTTTGATATAATAAATACCGGTTTAACTTACGTGTAATTTGCTATTAACATATTTTAAAATAAGAGAGGACATGTTATGGTATAATACAAATACAAGAGTGAAATACTAGACAGCTAAATAGTATTATAGTTTATTTACAGTTGCAAAGTTATTGTCTCTACCATAAATAGCCAAGTCTCTTTCTATAATTAAAAACTAAACTTAAATCGTATGCTTTCGTAACTACTCTGTAGAATAAAAGCTTGTAATGTACTCGTAAGTATGTTTTAACAGCACAATTATTTGACAGGTCTACAGATCGTGTTGAACTCAATACTGAAGGCGATGGTACCGCTGCTGCACATAGCGCTGCTCGTCATATTCGTCATCATCATCTACGCGATCATCGGCCTCGAGCTCTTCTCCGGGAAGATGCACAAGAGTTGCTACAATAAGTTCACGAGTACGTGGAAAGAATTTTAAAAACTGTGACTGTACATAGACATATGTGTCGTAAAATACTTTAAACTGTAATAGTATATATCGAGTAAGTGATTGCGTTGAATGCTTTCTTTAGTTGAGTACTCAGCAGCAAAATAAAAACTATTACATTTATTACATATCCACTTGTTTGTTTGGAATTACAATGTCACGATAATAAATAACTTATTAAATCAAAGTGTCTTCATGAACTGGTTGGTTTTTTTTTTCATTTTGGCATATTGCTTTACACAAATGAAGTTCCTGGGTTCGATTTTCGATCGGGCCAATTTAGGCAATGAACTTTTCACAGTTGACTCTGGTCTGGATGTTCTACAATGTGCCTCTGAATTTTCGCTGCCAGATTTCCTATGACACAAGCAATTATAGATGGAGGCCCAGGTGACTGGTGTAACTGTGATCACTTATGATTATTATTTCGAGTTTTCCTTCTCTCTTACACAGGTGTATTATATTTTATTTTTCCTAGTCGGCTCCTATAACATCCGAATAATAAAAATGATTGATGATATGTTCTACTCTTACTCCATCACCACATGAAGAATCACAATTAATAAAATCGGCTCACTACAAATAAAACACCTATAAGAAATCTGTTATCTATAGACGAGATCATGGACTCGCCACACCCGTGCGACCTGGACAACGGGTTCAACTGCTCGAGTATCGGCGAGGAGATGGAATGCAGAGAAGGTTGGATCGGCCCCAATTTTGGCATCACCAACTTCGACAACTTCGGCCTGTCCATGCTCACGGTGTTCCAGTGCATCACTCTCGAGGGCTGGACCGACGTCATGTATAATGTTAGTATCGTTCTTCTTAATTATTGTTATCATTATATTCGTTATAATAATAACTTCTCTCCTTCTGTCAATTTTTGGGAACATATGTAGACCTTTTTAACACAAAAGTGAATAAACTATTCATAAATTCACTTAGTTCATTTAGTAATTCAATTAGTAGATTCCTTTAAAAATTTAAAAATTGGCTTTGTTTGTATAGAATATAATTCAAGAATATTCAATGAAGAAGCACCACAGCCGTAGAATTCCACAGCTAAAAAGCTAATTCGTAATAACTGTCATTTTTGTTTATCTATCCGTAAGATGCGAGATGAAATCTACAAAGTTTCAATAGAAACTAAAAGTTCTTAATTTGCAGTTGATATAAATGACCAAGTTAAACTCTTAAAATGATCGGACTGTTAATATGTTTCCCAGATGCTTCTTCTTTCTTTTCCACATTCTAATACATTATTTAACTATAGCATAGTGTCCGTTTTCATTTCAGATACAAGACGCGATGGGTAACAGCTGGGAGTGGATATATTTCGTGTCGATGGTCATCTTGGGAGCGTTTTTCGTTATGAACCTTATTCTCGGTGTGTTATCTGGGTGAGTACGGTGCTATAAACGTAAAACTCGATGTATACCCATCCGAAGAGTTCCGTGGATTATAATTAAACGTGCATGCGACACCGTACCATTTTATTTTATTGAACACATGACATCAACGGAAACCGCCGTCCTGTTGTTTAGCTTTTTAATTATCATTGTAAATAATAATAATAATTTATTTACAGAAATATGGTTGAAATAGATCTTAATTAGTATTATAGAATTACATATTTTGCAACATTGTTTTAATAAATAATGTTTGTACAATGTACTCGTAAATGCATCTGCAGGTATATATTAAACATTTTAATAAAAATTAATGAATAATAATTGACCCAACTACGGGATAGTCTGCTGATGTCCAATAGTAATTCAAATACTAAATAATTATTAGATTGAATGTTTCCGTTTGTTACTAATGCCTTTTGGAGTGTGTTCTTGTGTTAATTTCAACAGAATTTGGTTACCTTATCCTCATTCAAGTTCTATTAAAATAAATTTATATTTCGTGCATAAGTAGTAACAACAAGTTCAAATAAATTAATTTCATTTTTGTCCATAAATATCGCCTACATGACTAAACTATTCAATTGTTTTAGTATCTTTTAGATTAATAATAGAAATAGTTAAACTATTATAAAATTCATACAAGAAAATACAGATATAAATAATATAAATTGATATTTATATTTAAATCCTGAAATTACATTACAACTACGCTTTCCTACTATTTTCTTTTTGAGGAAATGATAAAAAGTAACATGTTATGTAATAGCTACATAGTACCGCACATACGACGTTCGTACCGCCGCGGATAATACTCAACATTGGTGAACTACTGACTGTTTCCAATATATCTAGAGAGTTCTCCAAAGAGAGAGAAAAAGCGAAGAACCGTGGCGACTTCCAGAAGCTACGGGAGAAGCAGCAGCTGGAGGAAGACCTGAAAGGTTATCTCGACTGGATCACACAGGCCGAGTACTTGGAGCCCCTGGCTGACCAGCACGACGCTGTCGACCAGAAAAGGGACTATGGGATTGGTCAGTATTATTTGTTTCTTAATTTCATAGTCACACAACACTACAAGTGTATGGTAAAGTCCTTGTACGAGTAGCTTATTTCTATTAAAATTATTTTTCAACGACTGGCAATCACAAGTGGACGACACGATTGATGGAAAGTGGAGTAGTGTATCCATCGTCTATGAACATGAACAGTATGTGAACATCACAGGTTACACTGTGATGCCCGTATCTTTAGATATTTTTATACCTGAGAACTAGGAAAACAATATCTTTCCATGTCTTCGTATCTAGTTCCACCTTAGAATAGAAGAAAGCTTAGAAAGATATATTATTTTTTAAACTGATACAACCGTATAATTACAACTATTTGGTGGCAGAAATATGAGTGACATCAAGGCATTCGGGTAATTGTTACCAGTTTATAACTAATTAAATGATTGTAATGTTTCAACAGGTCCAACGCCGAACGAACACGACTCCACTGATCATTTAGGCATAGAAAACAATGAACAACAGAAGATATCCATCGGGAAATTATGGAAGAAAGATTTTGATAAAGTAAGATATATTTTAATAACATTTTTAGAATAAACCTCCGAGAAAAATGTCATGAACTGACGATACATATACATATACCCGACATCGCCTCCCCAACTCGTCGAGTTAAAATTAACAACAAGACCAAATTATCTGCCGTTAATTGGCATCGGGCGTTAATACTTAATTAACCCGTAAAAGTTCTGCCACCTGACTCCTCTAAACAAGTACTAAACGTCCTCTAAATATATATGCAATACTAATATGTATATAGAAGAGAACAGAATAGAAGAGAACTAAATAGTAGAGACAGCAACCAAGGACTTCTTCTTTGTTCTTATGCATTCGACAGCACAAATGTTTCTTTAAATAGATTCATTTGCCACTTATTAATACAGTCGAACATTTTAAATAGGTGATAATGAAATAATAACCTCGCCTGCGTTATCGGTAAACATTAGCGGGGCATCAGTGAGAGATGCTAGGCGAGGATGAAAAGCAAATAGGTTAGTTCATTCGGATGAACTCAACAAAGAAGAATTAACCATGATGATTTCTAGAGGCAACCGCGTGGAGGTCAACCTGATAAGGTATATTACTAGTGATGGGGTTATTTTATCTTACTATATTTTTGCAGGTGAACCGTCGCATGAAGCGCGCTTGCCGGCGCGCGGTCAAGTCGCAGACGTTCTACTGGCTCATCATCGTGCTGGTGTTCCTCAACACGGTCGTGCTCGCCAGCGAACATTATCAGTAAGGGTCTCTTCTCGTTCACTTATTCCACACACGGTCCTCCTCTTCCGAGACCACTTCATAAAATTCTTACTACTCCAACGTTTTCAACATTTTGAAATCCACTTTGTATTGTATGCCCCTATTTTTAGTTAAGAAATATTTTATTTATTTATTCTACAGTTTATTGCTTTATTATTGCTTTATTTCACTTTTATAATTTAATTACATACAAAAAATATTTTTTATTACATATAAAAATATACACTCCTCTTATCCCTCTTAATTTCTTTTCTAGAACTGCTGAAAAACTAAATATTACTTCGTAAACAGTGAAAACTACTATTTGAACAAACTATTTGTTTAGTAATTCAAACTTGTCGTGATAATCTCGTAATACATTTTGTTTCAGGCAGCCGACGTGGCTGGACCACTTTCAAGAGTACGGAAATGCATTTTTTGTAGCATTATTTACTTTAGAAATGTTAGTGAAGATGTACAGCTTGGGTTTACAGGTGAGCAATATATGTCAGTAACGACATATATATCATATGGATATTAATTCACGTCCTGACAGAATTCTAATAAATAGACGCTTTTTATTAAATTCTAAGAGAAATTATCAATTTTACAAAGTATATTAGTAAGATAATATAGTTAATTAATCATATACATTAATTATATACAAAATTATATATATAAAATACAAATATGTAAATTCTAAGGTATTTTCTTCACGTACTTAATAATATTGGTTAAATGTAATGATAATATTGCTGTTTCATTTGTAAATTAAGTATTACAGAGTAAGCAAAGTGTCGTTCATTATTAACTTTATCTATTTATTCCATTACTGTGAGTTCCTCTTCCACAGTTCTCGATCAGCCGTCGTACCTGGCCTCTTCTTCAATGTGTTCTTCATCAGCTTTTACAAAATTTTAACTAAGTTGATTTAATATTTTTATATTGATTTTAGTGATGGTGTTGTATGTTTCAGGGTTACTTTGTATCTCTGTTCAATCGGTTCGATTGCTTCGTCGTGGTGGGCTCCATCAGCGAGATGGTCCTCACCAAAACTGAGGTGATGCCCCCCCTTGGCATCTCTGTGCTGCGCTGCGTCCGGTTGCTTCGAGTGTTCAAGGTCACCAAGTGAGTAATTATACTGAATAGCAACATTTTGCTGTTAAATGAGTATTGGATATTGAATGGAAAAAAAATTACACAAAAAAATCAATTGATAAAAATCACTTTCAACATTGTTGCCATTCCTGAAGACTCCCCACTATTATATCTCACTCAATATTATCGCCAAAGAACTTACATTCTTATATTTTAAAAGTCATTTCTAAGTACAGAATTTGAAACCATAAGTTCTACTTGCAACTAATAATTGACCGAGCTGCAGAATACGCTGGCTCTAAAATTACGAAGCACGTATGGTCTCGCAATCACCGTGTCGATCTACATTTTGTGACTATGACAGTATGAAATTTTAATTACCTACTTTTTTATTAGTTATTGTTATCATTATAAACATATCCAATAATAACTTAAACTGGTACTATAAACATTGATTTTTTATCTACATCAGATATTGGCGTTCCCTGTCGAACCTGGTGGCATCGCTGCTTAATTCGATCCAGTCGATCGCGTCGCTGTTGCTACTTCTGTTCCTCTTCATCATGATCTTCGCGCTGCTCGGCATGCAGGTGTTCGGTGGGAAATTCAACTACGACCCTGTTGAGGAAAAGGACAGGCACAATTTCGACTGTTTTTGGCAAGCGCTCCTGACCGTGTTTCAGGTAAGTACAATACCATTGATTTAATTTTAGAAATAATACTTCTCGAGTAGATAATATTAATGTTATTATTTATTAAGTATTTGCCACAGTTACATAGTAATTCATTAAAGTAGTAATCAGAACCCGTACGTATTTCTTTTATATACTACCTACACACATAACCTGAGGGCTTATCATGAAACATTTTCCGAAATTTCGGGGACGAACGAAACAAAGATATGATTTTAAAATTACATAATACATGCCGTTTTAAATTATTAAAAATATTAAAATACCGTTCCTCTGGACTATTAGGATAGGATTTATGATGAACACAATGTGAAGCTCCATTTACTGGGTCGATTTCGGTACGTACAAAAATACGAAATTGTGTCCGAAAATTCGGAATTTCATTTCATGGTAAACCATCTGGTTGCTTAATTTGGTGTTTGATAATAATCGGAAATGTAACATTGAGTGCAGTCTATATTTTGGTGAATGAATGAATACTATTATAAGTGGAACTCTATATATACTCTTATTATAAATAAACGTTAAGGTATTTATTTTTTATTTATAATATTTTGTTGTAGATACTGACGGGCGAAGACTGGAATGCAGTAATGTACGAAGGCATTAAAGCTTACGGTGGAGTGGGTTCTTTTGGAATACTTGCATGCATCTACTTCATCATACTTTTCATTTGTGGCAACTGTATCCTTTTCATGATTATCATTTACTTTGTTACATTGAAATTCTTTTTGGTCATTTATTATAATTTCTCATTAAGATGAAGGTTCGATATTTTTATAATAAATTAAATATGTAACAAACCAACAGACTAACTTTAACATTTATAATAATTACCAATTTAAACAAGTAGTTGACTGAATATGTTATATTTTTCTTAACAAATCTATACAGATATACTACTAAATGTGTTCTTGGCTATTGCTGTGGATAATTTAGCAGATGCAGAATCCTTAACTAATATTGAAAAAGAAGAAGGGGTACGTTTATCAACGACAAGAGTAAAATATCAAGTACCTAGTAGTAGGAGAGCCAGTTATTAAGATCTGTGAATTCATTTCTAGGCTGCGGAAGAAAAAGATGGAGGTAGTATAATAGCAACTGAAGGCGGACACGTAGACACTGATGATGAATATATCCATGATGACGATGCATACACTACGGACAAGTAAATATCATCCTTAACATAGAACTGCAATATTTTTAAATATGTATTTTTAATAATAAGCAATTTCTTACAAATTTTAGCTCTGAAAGAGAATATGAAGAGACGGGATCCGAAGGCGAACAGCATGAAGAAATAGAAGGCGAAGGAGAGGAAGGTGAAGGTACAGAAGAAGATGGTGGAAGAGAAAGAGTTGAAGAAGAACAGGAAAGAGAAGAAAACCATGAAATGATGGAGGGGCATCAGAGAAATCACATTGGTATGAATATACTTTCAGAAAAGTTAATTATATAGTACATAAATTTAAACTCGATTTGGATTGAAATATTAATCAAATACATTGAAATTACAAACTGTTTAAAAAATCACAATAAAAAAGGTAATAATTATAGTATATTATTATTTTCGGTGTATTTGATAGTACTTAATTTACCATTTAAATTCTATATTGAGGTCTTTAGTTAGATGAATCCCGTTTATACTGATGATCCTAGTGGAGTGTTTGACCACGATAGCTAACCAACTCAAACAGTGAATACAGAGTTGGATGAGGAGCCTCGTCTGAAACGCAAACCGACCACATCGTCAGCTCGGCCGCGCCGCCTCTCGGAGGTCGATATACACGACACAAAGAAACCCATCCCTGATGCTTCGTCATTCTTCATATTTTCCAAAACCAACAGGTTAGGGTATAGGCAGCGGCAGATGATATTTGAGCTTCCACTGAATTGTTTAGATGTTTATTTACATAATTCTTTATTTGTTTATTTATTATAATAAACTAATGATCTGTTTTTGTGAGCTCAAGGACATTAATGTTATCAATCAAGCAATCAAGAACAGATCTCGTAAATATTTTACGCCACTCGTCTTTCTCAAATTTAATATTTTCATCAGATTACTTTTATCTTATTAATATGATTTATTGTTTTTACACAATTACTAGCAAATCTCACTATACTTATGTTTGCATTACTCATTTATTATACAAGGGTTGAAAATTAGTATTGAAGTAGTATAGGATAGGTCACGCAGAAGTATACGAGTAGGTTCTTTTCATTCATTCAACTGGTTTTCGGCATGTTGCTATTAGATAGGTAGAATTATAATTATGTACTGCCTAGGTAGATTAATTTTATATGCCTTTCAAGCAAATTCAACATTGTAAACAAATCGTCTATCGTCATATGTTTCTATCTCACAAAGATGGCGGTCAGTCAGAAGAGGAGGGAACACTGGTAACAGCCAGACCACGGCGTGTTTCAGAACTGAACATGCCAAATCAGACGCCGCCAATACCGAACGCTAGTAGTTTCTTCATATTCTCACCAACGAACAGGTGATTGGTGAATGGTGATCTCTCCACGTGGTACCCGTGTCTCATTGTAAAACAATTGGCAGTGTGTTGTCCAATACAGCCTTACAGATTGGCTTGTCATTCCGTACATCATCTTGACCATGTTTTGTTTATCCAACGTCATTATTGTCATCAACATGTATACATTTTCCATCGTTCGAATTGAATATGCACGTGTGTTGTAAATGTAACACATCTGTGTTTGGAGTGAACGATACGAAACCTGTAGCAATGAGAATACTGGGTACCGAATATTGTTTCCCATCTAGAGGATAGGTTTGTTTAGACCTCAGTTTTTGTTAGCTCTAAAGCATGAAAACCTGAAATCCTTTAGTCATAGGTACATAGAAGCCACATAGAAGCTGTTAGTGAATTTTATTTTACATTTTTATAGATTTTAACAAGGTCAGCATGTTGCATGAAATTGTAATTATTATTTTTGCCTTTATACATTTTGCATGGCCTTATTGTGTATATGCTGTAATTTATATCCAGTTTCTAAATTGATATTTTATTGTTAAATTACTCCTTATACTCTATATATTTATTTATGTAAGTGTGGGTAATATTTGTATTGGTTTGTTGATAAAGAAACTGGCTAAAAATTTAATATTTATATTTAATTAATTGTAATCATATTTTAAATTAAATATTAATACAAAAGTACACTATAATTGATACTTCTGCTGTTATACTTATTTATGCACGTGAATATTTTGTGGTAATATTAATATATACTATAAATTAAATTTAACACAATATTTTATATTAAATATATGAATATATACATTAAACGAACAAGAAGTACTCCCACAAACAGATCGTAAGCAATGTTTCCTACCACAGGTTTCGGGTGTTTTGCTACAAGTTGTCAGCATCCTCGCCGTTCGGGAATATTATCCTGGTGTGCATCATGCTCTCCTCGGCCATGTTGGCCGCAGAGGATCCTCTAGATGCAGCACAAAAGGGGTTTCGAAATTGGGTTCGTATTAGCATGTTCACTAGTTTGCTGTCAGTGCTGATTAGTATCAGCAAGCAAAGACAAATAGAAACCTTATAGAGAATCATATCAAGACTATTTGAATCTATTTCGAGCACGACAAACTTTCTAAGTCTAAAACTTAATTTGTTAAAAGTACTTTCGATTGGAAATTTTAATTGTAATATGCATATATAATTTAAAAAGTTTATGAAGCACCTGATACCTGAGTATTACAATTTACTATGGTTTGGTATGGTATTATCTGTGGTTGCCAAGACGTTTGCCAAGCATGGCAACTACATGCGAAGTACCCCAAGTAGGTGGCCTATGTTCAGCAGTGAAGAATTTTTTAATGCAAATAACTTTTGTATTGCGTCTAAAGGATTCATTCATTATACTTTAACAATAGTTATTTGTTCGCAGTTGTTGAGTCAATTTGACGTATTCTTCACGGGTATATTTACCCTGGAGCTGTTCCTGAAGCTGGTGACGTACGGCCTGATCCTCCACCAGGGTGCCTTCCTGCGCTCCGCATTCAACGTGCTCGATATGCTCGTCGTTTGCGTCTCACTCATCTCTATGAGTTTTAAGTGAGTAAACCTATACTAGCTCACACATTTATACCTTTAAGTAGGCAAAACTCAAAGATCGCTATTTACTTTAATCTTGACATTCCTTTGAATTCATACAAAATTCATTGGATTCAAGTGTTTCTAATTTAGTTTTTCTTTACAATATCTCTAATTTGCTCGTAATCAGTGCGATGAAGGTGCCTGAATTCGACTTGCTCATATAGTTCTTTGGCCTCAGATCCACCTATTGTCTGTTACTCGTTACTAATTAATCTTAGGTTTCTTTATCTGCAATACTTCTTCAATTGATTAAAGATTTAAAAAAGTATACCAATTTTAACATTGACAAAAATATTACGAGATGGGGTCAATATGGAAATAAAACTTACCAGTTAAGAGTCTTCAAAATCGATTTGCAATTAGCGAATATATATATAATTATATATAACATGCACTGAAATCACAGAATCCTACTATTTTTAAATCCATTACAAAATTTACAATATATTTGACTAAATATTTGCTATTGAAACTGGTTGTTTCAGGTCTGGTAGTATATCAGTGGTGAAAATTTTGCGAGTATTCAGGGTGCTGAGGCCTCTTAGGGCCATTAATAGGGCCAAGGGCCTTAAGGTTCGTAAAGTTTCTGTATTTTTGACTTTGAAATAAATTTATTTACATTAAATTAGGTAATATTCTCTGATGAAATTATAGGTCAGGTTTATTTCAATGAGCCGACTATTTTATTAATGTTTAAAACATCAACTGTTTTCCATGATTGTAGCACGTTGTTCAGTGCGTGATCGTTGCAATCAAAACGATCGGCAACATTTTGTTGGTAACGTCCTTACTGCAATTCATGTTCGCTGTCATGGGAGTACAAATGTTCAAGGTAGGGGGCGCTTTCTACAATACATACTAAGATTTATCGAAAGCTTGTTGAGTCTTGACATTACTCGGCCGAGAGCCAACGAGGCCTATCACGTGTGACAACACGACTTGGAGTGATTATAAAACTATCTCTTTCAAATCACAGCTATATAAATCTATTACAGAAAGTTCTAATTACACCTTTGGGTATACATAATTATATTTCTTTTTACTTCTTCTAAATAATTTTATTTTCTTCCTCCTCTACACTCATTTCTCATGATTTATTTTGCAAATTATTCCTTATATATTTATATATTTAAAAGTCTTTAAAGTAAGCTTTCGCAATTATGATTCGTTTAGCTTAACTAACACTTGTGCTAATCTTTATCTCTATATATGCTCAGCTTTCGTTATATAATATAATACTATTTACTTAGAAAGCTTCGCCATTATTATCGAACAATATTTTAGTCAGTTAAGCACTCACGACTCAGCCGCACTCGTGTTGAACAAAAAATGTAGTATGCTCATCGCTAGGATAGGTCGCCACCATACTCGTATATAACAGTTGTTGATTGTTGTAATTAGCCATCAGTTTGTAATAATATCTCATTAAAGTCTATATATAAGTGTTAGACTGTATAATAGTAATTGTCCACCGTTCATTAGACATTAAACGCTGTTGGCATGTCATACATCGTAAACAAGTAGATGTAGGTTTACTACGTTTAGACTACCTCTAGTTACACTCCTAATCCAAAGTTATATTAGATGTTGTTAAAATTAGGTTAAGCATGTAATGTTTAACTCGATCGTTGAACCCAAAGGTGTAGTAAACATGCAAACCTTAAATAAACCTATGCGTATAACCATCCCCCTACCTTGGCGTTTACTTAAACATTCTCACTAGGTTATCTAACAGGTTATCTTCGCCCTGTCCAAACGTCACTAATAACGTAGATCTTGTCCCCAATGCGTCCTATGTAAACTAGTCCCATGTGATTAAAATGGTTTGCTTGTCCCCTCATGTTCCGCCGCTGCGTGCCACCGGACAATCATGGACTGTCCTTGCCCGGTAATGTATCACCCGTGACTAACGCACTTCCATAACGCAGTATGTGGTTAAATGTGTGATAGTAGCGATTAAGACAATAGGAAATATAATGCTAGTTACTTATTTATTACAATTTATGTTCGCTGTCGTCGGTGTACAGTTATTTAAGGTGAGCTTCTGTTGTTGCAACTCGAGACCTTCTAGCCGAGCCTTCTCTGCCACTCTGCTCTATGTATTTGCGGGCCTCGGTTTTATTAATATATGCTATGGTTCAACCATCTGATCAGTATTATCCAATGCTATAAGCGACGCTTATTGTTTGTAGCTCTAGGAAACCATAGGATTTATTATTAAAGATTTTAGAAGGTCTTTATTGGCATGATTTTGTAGCTGTTAACATAATGCGATTAATTTCAATGTATTTATATTTGTCGTACTTCTGCCTTAAAACATGCCGCATGCGATATTGTGATCGAAAATGTTGTATCATTATTACAAAGTTTAATTTTTATGGAATCCTCTAATAAAGTGAAGAGCTGCATTTTAGTCTCTGTGCAAGGCTTGTTATGAAAACTTCCATCATGAGAAATGAGTTCATAACACGAAGATCTTTGATGTGACACTTTGTATTTATCGTACCACATTTAGTTTTCATCGTCTGCTCGCATTGCGTAAATGTTGCATGTTTGTTAATTTTCATCTAACAGTTTACATCAATAATATTCTTACAATAATCAAGAGATACAATTTTTTTCAGGGTAAATTTTTTAGTTGTAATGATATTTCGAAAATGACAAAAGAAGAATGTCAGTAAGTAAATTTTAAAACTTTTAATGTGTAACTTATTCATGAGTAAAATACTTTGTGTAGCTTTACGATATACTCGTTATAATTGCAGAGGGACTTATTTAGTATTTGAGAATCGTAATTACGTGGTAAAAGATAGAGAGTGGAAGAGATATGACTTCCACTTTGACAACGTCATGAAGGGAATGCTCACTCTTTTTACGGTGTCTACGTTTGAAGGATGGCCAGGGTGAGTGGATGATGTTGGTCTTATTACGAAGTACATTCACCTGATAACCTAATACCTGAGTCACAAAAATCTATTTTAACCGACATGTCAAATACACTAATTTATTTTTATTGTATAAAACTTTATGTAATCGCAATTAACAAGTTTTCAAATAATTGAAACTAGTTCTTTGTATTTAATAATATGTTTAAATGGTCATAAGAAATAAAAGTCAAAATTATTCACCAAGCATAAGAGCGAAATAATGAAGTCGAATCGTCTGTTTTGTGAACGCACTCAATAATTTGATGGTGAATTTGATTTGTGGATAAAACCATTTTTACTTTCAGGAACATCTTTAAACGTAAAACGTATATCTGTTTCAGGTTGTTGTATGTGTCTATAGATTCGAATGCAGAGGACCGCGGTCCTATCACTAACTTCCGTCCAATTGTTGCAGCCTATTACATTATTTATATTATTATTATTGCCTTCTTTATGGTACGTCTTCTTTTTTACACTTAAGTTTAAGAGATATTATTTATTATCATTATTAAACTAGAATATTTTCCGAAAGAAAATTGCACAAAATCTGCCGTTAATCCACTGAAGTTTCTGCGACTATGAAGCTACGCTTTTATATGGCTGGGTTTTGAATTTAAGGGTTATGATACTAAAACTATTTCAATCCAGCTTTAACCCGCGACTTGGTACGTGTGACCAGCATATGTTTACTTACTGGCTTAAAAGTATCCTATATTCTTCTTCACCCTATGCGTATACTAAATTTCATGATGATTGGTTAAGTCGTAAGACTAACAAACTCGTTTTCGCATTTATTTCATTTATTTATAATATTGATAGAGATTACCACTTTTCATAAGAGAGACCGTCAGCTTGTTCGCCATTCAGAACTGTATAAAAAAAATCAAGTACGTTAGTCCAAGAGAAGAATAAGTCAAAATATAACTCATTCATGAGACCGCCACCTGATCAGCATAGTTATGATACTCATTAAGTTAATATTGTGTTTTAGGGGAATATGGGTCCAGCAGTGGGACTTTAATAATATATTTTTTATTATAATGAAGATGATTGACTACATTTTATTAAGAATATTAAACTGAACGTGTTTCTACTAATTTATTGTTTCTAGTTGGTTGGTTCATTATAAACATGTTTTAGGTAAATATATTCGTCGGTTTCGTCATAGTGACATTCCAAAACGAGGGCGAGCAAGAGTACAAGAATTGTGAATTAGACAAAAACCAAAGGAATTGTATAGAATTTGCGTTGAAAGCGAAACCGATCAGAAGGTAATCATTAGTATCGCTGACAGCAACATTACACGAGTACAGAGTATAAAAAGGAACAAGAAAATATACTAAAATTGCGTTAAAAGTAGATAATTAAATCTGTGAAATGATTGTAGTATATCTAATAGCAAGGTTGTGTTTCGGTATGAAGGGCAGTCATATTACAGGATCCGGAGACATAACACCATAGTGCTCAGAGTATTCTGTGATTTATATATGTGTTTATATATTAATATCTACACTACACTATAGTGCGACAGACATCATTTTCTATCAACTAGGCCGCTGGCTTGTTTGATATTTTAAAACTCACTATCCTACAGCCTAAATGGTCGCGTACAATGCGGTTTCAGAGACAAACACTCAGGTTATGGAATGAGCTCCCTACCAAGGTTTTCCCAAGAAACCACAGCATGGGATTCTTCAAAAGGGGGGTAAAGAAGTTTCTTCAGGGCCGGCAACGCGCGCGTATTACCTCTGGTATTGCAAGCGTTCATAGGCTACGGTAACCACTCACCATCAGGTGGACCATATGCTTGATTCCCACCTCAATGGTATAAAAAGTCTCACTAAAAAATCAAATGTAGGAATCTATTTTTCTAAAATTTTAAACTGTAACAACACCAATACCCTACATACTACTTTGCAAATATTTATTTACGTTGCAACAACTTGTGAAAACTTCACGTAATCATATTTTGTATTTGCGTTATTTAAAGGGGAATTATTGTTTGCGCAGGTATATACCGAAACACCGCATCCAATACAAGGTGTGGTGGTTCGTGACCTCGCAGCCGTTCGAGTACGCCATCTTCGTGCTCATCATGATCAACACGATCACCCTCGCCATGAAGTACCACAACCAGCCCGCCGAGTACAGCAAGGCCTTAGATATGCTCAACATGATATTCACAGCCATTTTCGCACTGGAATTTATATTTAAACTGGCTGCATTTAGGTTTAAGGTGAGCTGATAAAGAATGACCTCGCTTAGGCTAGTGTTCTGCATAGCGTGCAGCACACACGAGCACGTTTTATTTACATATGTATGTATTACATCTGTACCTTAGTTTCTAAATAAAAAAAAAAAAACATGCTCATGTGTTTGTAATCCCTATACATACATATGTCGACTACATATTTACTCATCTAGAATACTAGTTTTAATAGGTATGCAAAAAATTCTAAAAAACATTTTTTTAAGCAAATTAATGTAATTTTTGTAATATAACCTCACGAGTAAGGATCCCGATACTAATAGAGCATTCTCGAAAAAAATTTACATAATTCAATCCAATATTACAATAAAAATTGAAGATACAAAATCTATAAGGATTATCTTGTTTGTACAGTGTAAAGTTATGTATTAGTTCAAAGAGAGCTTGATCTTTCTTAAATTTAATTAAGTAATAAAAATTTTACTACGTATTACTTTCTCTTATTAGACATATGTAGTTCAATAATAGTAAATGTCTTGTTCAGAATTATTTCGGGGACGCGTGGAACACGTTCGACTTCATCATCGTGTTGGGGAGCATCATAGACATCGTGGTGTCGCAAGTAAACGAACTTAAGAACCAGGTAAGGTAACCAACAATAAGGTGCACTTGTATACAACACACAGGTTAGAGACACACCTTCACTTGGATACTGTCTCATTTGGGAACAGCCAAGCTTCGAACACGACTGAAGCACTCTAACTTTTTATAGATGATTGTGATGCGTTCGTAGTTTGGCTATTTCGTCATGATAACAGACTAGTTACTGTCCCGGGCATGGACAAAATTGATGTTGTAATAACAGCAAATGCTAAAGCTATCTCACTTTAGATCTGTTTCTAGATACAATTTCATTTGAAGGACCTAATGCTGATTTCAGGGCAGTGGAATGCCAAGAGCGCATGTCGTCAAGGTAAGTCTGAGCTTTCACGCTACATATACAAAACATAGAATACCCACAAAACATAATACTTCGCTTCATAATTGAAACGCATTAAAGTATATATTATAATTTTAAAAAAATACCTAATTAGCAGGATTCTGGCGGCTTTCTTTGTTGTATTTTATATTTCTAATAATGTTATTAATACCTTAGCTTTTGATGTATATATAATAGGCATCTTTATGGGACAGTAACACCATGCAATAGTGCAAATTATAATAAAACTTAGCCGGAAGCCGAAACTTATAAGGCACATTGCACCCATTAAACATTGCGCACCTAAATCTGCAATCTGTAAAAATCATCAATGTAATGTAGGACAATATTATTACTTTGAAACTCTAGAAATTCTAATTGTCGACATTTATTAAGGTTTATGAATTTAGACTGTGATTAGTAAATTGTGTATTTATTATATTTCTTTCTCTACGTATTTTTTAGTTCCAGTTAATAAGCTGGCAGTAGCCAGGGTCTACCTACTTGTTTTTCTTTCTCTACTTTACGCTATCTGTAGATAGACAACTACCTCGGACACGACATTATATTATCGTGTAAAGTTTCATTAAAATATGACATGAAATTCAACACTAAAACTCTCTCTAGATATTAATAATTAACATTCAACAAAGTTAAAACAATAAGAAGATTTTTGTATGATTAATAACAAACTTTAAATTATAATCTACGAGAAGCGATTCATTCAAATGATAATTATTTAGACTCTGATTTATTCAAATTTCTAAATAATTTCAATTTATAAAAATTATTATAAATACGAATTCTATTGTAGAAATAAGAGTATGCAAGTACTTTGCTAACATAAAACGAACGTTTGCAGGAAAGCTCAATCCCGTCGATTAACTTCTTCCGACTGTTCCGCGTGATGCGGTTGGTGAAGCTGCTGTCCAGGGGGGAAGGCATAAGGACCCTGCTTTGGACCTTCATTAAGTCATTCCAGGCGCTGCCTTACGTCGCACTGCTCATCCTGATGCTTTTCTTCATCTACGCTGTTGTAGGCATGCAGGTACCATACTAGATTTATTACTCTGAACTTACGTTTCTATTGAATAAATTGTCGAGTTCTAAGCCATATCAACTACAGCTTATGTTCAGTTTCTTCTTATTGTTTATCTATAGTGTAATTTCAAACGACTTTAAAAAGAATTGCGTTCATGGTCACAATTATTTGGTTAAAATTGAAGTTGTTATTTTTTGTAACTTAATATGGTAACTGTTGTGATAGATCTGTGGCTGTGGTGTGATAGACACATATAAGTATCATAATAACAAATAAATATCAAAATAAGTGATATCCATTGTACTTGAAGTTTTCCTAACAATAACCGTTACGCATCATCACGAATGTATTGTTGTTGTCCGGCCGCAGGTGTTCGGCAAGATAGCGATAGACGACGACACGCACATAACGAGGAACAACCACTTCCAGACGTTCCCTCAGGCGATACTCGTGTTGTTTCGCTCGGCAACAGGTAACGGGAACACTGTGCCAATGAAACTTGCTACAAGTATATCAATGACTGAGTAAAAATAATAATATATATAACTACTCTATTATTACTAAGCAATAAAAAGCAAAACAAACGGGCCGTGTGGTCCCGGCATAGAATAAGCCACCTCTTCCTTTCCTGTGGGTGTCGTAAGAGGCGACTATGGAAGCTTAATGGTAAAGGGATGAGTAGCAGCGTCCCTCTTAAAATATCACCAATGCTTAACTGCAGTTGCCGACTCACCTGCCAAGCGTGGCAACTACTGGCAAAACTTCCCTAATGGAGAAGGCTTATGTTCAGCAGTGGACAGTTTAGGGCTGATACGATCATTATGAATGTCACCTCAACTGTAGATCAAAAGTTTCTCAATTAGAGACGCAACGAATGTTTTGTTAAATAACGTCATCCGTAAAGTAGCAATAAAAGTATGACAATGTTTGATGAAGTGTGCGTTTAATGAAGTAGCGTTTTAGAACTGGCTCATTATCATCCATACAGTTGCTTGCAGTGCAGTTGTACGTTTGATATTGTTTTTTTTTTAATACAACTTAGAATGGCAAACAAGCTGACGGCCCACCTGATGGAAAGTGGTAACCGTCGCCTATAGACATGAGCAGTACCATGGACATAACAGAGTATACTGTTTCGCCCATGATACCCCCCATGCGTTACCATTCCTGAGGACTCAGGTGTTATTCCTCTGTACCCAGTAAATTCACGCCATATCCCACCCTTCAGACCGAAACACAGCCATGTAAACACAACTGCTTCACGGTTGAAACACGAATGGGACAGAGGTGCCCAAGCAATCGACTTTTGTACAAAGTCTCCCTCTGGTGTAGAGCAGACGAGAGTCTATATAGAACAGGGTAAAGGTAGTGAACTTTCTGTACACTTGAAAACGAAGCGTGTTTGCGGGAACGGACCGCAGCACCCACCTCATGAGTACGGTCAGCACCCAACTGTATCGATTATATACGTAAAACTGTGGTGCAGGTGAAGCGTGGCAGGACATAATGATGGGTGTGTCCCCGGAGCCGGACGTGAAGTGCGACCGCAACTACGACGAGGAGGGCGAGGAGGCGGGCGGCTCCTGCGGCAGCGTGCTCGCCTTCCCCTACTTCATCTCTTTTTACGTTCTCTGCTCATTTCTGGTATAACAATCATTCTGACGTTTTTTTTTTTTTTAATATTGGAAGTAGACCACCATAACGTATGTCTTGAATGAGTCGTAATAAATCATTCTCATAACTACAGTTTACGAAGCGTCATGATCCCTACGAAGCTCTTGAGCTTATAGCTAAAAGTAGTGTAAATTGCTTATATGTAGGTTGTTACAATACATACTAGAAAATACATTGAAATTACATATTTTGTGTACATAGAAATATTTCTACGTTACGTTTAAAAGGGCATTTCGTTTGTTTTCAGATAATCAATTTGTTTGTCGCGGTCATTATGGATAATTTCGACTATTTAACTAGAGACTGGTCAATACTGGGACCACACCACTTAGATGAATTCATAAGGTAAGCTCTAGTATTCGCTTAGACTTCTATTTAGCAAACTATTCCATTGAGTGTGCGATTGTAAGTTGCAATGTTACGATTACTGTATGCAGGTTATGGAGCGAATACGATCCCGACGCCAAGGGTAGAATAAAACATTTAGATGTAGTTACTTTGCTAAGAAAAATTAGTCCACCTTTAGGTAAGTACTAATAAATCTGTTAACCATTGTTTTTTAAATAGATAGATATATAATTTATTTGCATCACTTACAGCACACAAATAACATTAGATATTGATGCATACTTAAAAAAAAAGAAATAAAACAAAATATATATGTAAAAAAAAAAAAAACAAAAAGAAAGTACATAAAAGAGGTTACACAATTTCTCGTGAATGCGCCACAGTAACACAAAATGGTTACAACTTTATTGCTTTGCCCTCAAAAGAGCAAAACACTGATATTCTGTTGTGGCCAAAAATCAAAAGTTTTTTTTTTCATAATTTATTGTTGTATACAATCAAAATGTATATAGTAAAGATTAGAAATTTCAAACCTTAGGAATTAGCGCACAATTTATAGCAGTGTTTGTGCAAAGAACTTAACTTAGCATATGTCGCAGTTTCATATCTGAAGCTACGACATTGATTTTCAGTAGGCTCTAAATACGAGTACGTAACACACTTTGGCTGAATGCTCTTTCATCTTAGAGCACCTGATCCTACATATTGTATTTTTTTTATATATTTTTTTTAATTTGGTTTGGTAAGAAAGTGCTGAATATACTTTTACGCTAGGTTTCGGCAAGCTGTGCCCGCACCGCGTGGCGTGCAAGAGGCTCGTGTCCATGAATATGCCGCTCAACTCGGACGGCACCGTGCTCTTCAACGCCACGCTGTTCGCCGTCGTCCGCACCTCGCTCAAGATCAAGACAGAGGGTACGCTGCGCTTACATATCTCATTAGAACAATTGTGTATATACAACATAATACGTGTTGAAAATGAATTACAATCTTGACAAAATTAACGTCGTATTTTTATCCTTTCTATTAAAATAGAAACATGACAGAAATTGCGTAAAATATAAAAAAGAAAATCTCTTTTAAAGTCAGTTAATAAACGAATCGAAGAAATCTTCGAAACCTCTCCTATTCTATTCAATATGTGGAAGAATTTAAGTACATTTCTCACAATATCAATGTCCTCTACTTCATTGAAATCATAGGAAATTGTCTCATTTATTATAATAATCCTGTCGTAACTTTTTATTGATATATAAAACAAACAAATTATATGTAACACAACGTTGAGTGTCAACACATGAACCTTTTTATTCTAGCAACTTGTATATTTTGCATAAACTTTTTCGACGAACACATACCAAGATTATAAATACTAATAACACTGGTATTGTAGTATTAATGGGATAATATTGGGCATTCCCACTCCCGTCGCAGGTAATATCGACGACTGCAACACAGAGCTGCGAGCAGTTATAAAGAAGATTTGGAAGCGCACCTCACCCAAGCTGCTGGACCAGGTAGTCCCACCCCCGGGCGACCCCAACGAGATCACCGTCGGCAAGTTCTACGCCACCTTCCTCATACAGGACTACTTCAGAAGGTATCATCTTGTCTTCATTTATTATTCCATTATTTTTATTAAATGTTGCTACTTTTTATCAGTATTTTGCATAATGTTTACTTTATCGAAGCTTCTTTTTATATTTCAAAATTTATATTTTGAAAACGTTCTCTGATTGGATGTTTTGTAAGATTGGCTGTAACGTGACCTCAACAAATCGTTGTTGACAACAAACTACTACAAGAAGTTAAAAATATACATGTATATATTTTATCAGGACATACTCGTATCTAGAAAAATCTTAAATTTTTCTTAATTATGACACCAAAACAAAATATTAAGACTTCCATTTCATTTTTAAAATATACCTTTTTTTGAGTTGTACTAATTTAAATGGACTACATGTTACAGAATACAAATGATATTTATTTAGAAGTCAGTACATGACATCATCATTTGGCCCTCCTGTTTTGTGTCTCGTTAATTGTTTCTCTCTCAAGTTCGGTTCCCACTGACACATTTATTTTTGTTTCATAGGAATCACGCGTAAGTAACGCAAGGAGACGTATGTTGTTTAGGAATCAGAATGTACCCTCTATATAGTACTGTTCATAATTGCTACCGTGGCCCTATAAAGTATAGAACTTGGTGGACATATAGTGAAGTATTTACAGCCACGTCTCGGAGTTGTATATGACGGATGCTGTTGAACCGTGTCGCCCTGCATGGCCCTCCCTGTCGAAACACTAAATCAACTATACTCTCTGTGTTGTAATACCTAGTGCGTTTGACGAAGTTTTACCCTTTCACATTTGAATTTGCTTACAGTAAGCATGCAAAGTTTTGGATTTTAATCTCAAAATATATTTATTGTTTCCTATTACAAGCAGTTTTTTTCCTTTGTGACATTTCTAATATTGTGTTTTTTTTTACATTTTTGCCTCGAAATATTTTTAGAATTAGTTCAATTTAAAGCGAACAAGTAAAATTTTAATAAAACCGATTATATACTATATAACTAGAATTAAATCAATTTCCATAATAATTAGGATTGTTTTAATAGCTTTACATTTTAAATGATTGGAAGTAGTTTACGATCGAATGACACGTATGTTGCAACTGAAAATTAATTTCTTAGACACTATACAAGCAATATTTTTAATAATAAATGCGCTTCTGTTATAGAATTTCGAATTACATTCATATCTTAGATATATTACGTAGATTTATAATAGTTGCACTACAATTATAGTTCACAATATTTGAATAACTGGTTCAAATATATATGTCAATAGATTTTATATTGGATTATCTGGAACTTAAGGTTCAAAAAGCGAAAAGAGCAAGAAATGCGGCAGAATGACGAACAGACCCACCAGATGACGCTGCAGGCGGGACTGCGAACGTTACATGAAGCGGGCCCAGAGCTGAAGAGGGCTATATCCGGGAACTTAGACGATATATCGACTGAGTGCGACGTGCCAATGCACAGGGTAACAATAATACATATTGACTCTCATTTCAACAATTGATTTCATCTTTCAGTAATAACAGTTGGCATTATCACTTCTCTTGCACGCATTCATCTTAACTTACTGTGATTTTTTTTCCCTACAGATATTGAAAAATATCTGTAACAAACGTGAAAGTTTAAAATAAGATTAAATTTACTTTCCCTGTATTTTTAAATAGAGTTCACGTATTTCTAGATGGTAACAACAAGACGGCTCACAGAGTATGCAAAACTGTCTTTTTAATAAAAATACGAGTACATATTCAGTAATTATTTAAAATAAACACAACATTTATTCGTTATACAAAGTTACGGTTTAGTGTTTTATTGTTGCAAATAATTACAATAAGACTTTAAAACATCGAAATATATTTTTTTATGAGATAAAAACTATCATAATACAATTTGTTCAAACAGAGAAATCACTCGCTGTTTGGAGGCGTTTGGTCAAGTATACGAAGGCACGGCCCCAACAGGCACTTCAATAAGCATCGCAAGCACGGAGACGCACCGGGAGGTAACCGTCGTAGCCACACACTCACTGACAGTGCGCTTCATACGTATAGTATGCAGTGCCACCTGACTACAAGTGTATCCTATGTCCTGTACACGCAAACGTGTTCCTTTCAGATGGAGTCGGTAATCATTTGAGTTCAATGATGCAGCGTGAGTACGGAGTGGGGCCAATACCTTTAGCACCAAATTTGTGAGTTGTTTATAATAATAGTTAATATAATATCTTATACACGAACCTTACATATTTAACAAATAAAACAAAAACTTCTTATTGTAGAGCAAACGGTCAACCGAAGGAACAAATTCCACTGAGACCACTCATATTCAACGGTGAATCGGAAAAAATATATCAGGTTCTCGAGTGAGTACAACTGAATCTTTACAACTTTATTCACAGTAACTAATGTCGCACTCTAAGTACTCAGTGAAGTAACCGAATAATCAGAAAGTCGGTTAACTTTGTAATATCCTAGATATTTTGTATATGTATATACAATATGCTTATTATATTACAGAAAAACCACAAACGATCTAAAGAACGCTATTTACGAAGGTAGTCCAGTGTGGTTTTGTAGTGAATTTACAATTTAGACAGTCTGTAGTTTTCTAACTAACTCGGCGACCCCAGCACCCGTTACTAACTGTAGACTAACCTACATGCGCATCTCTAACTCGTTCTACTTCTACTGACACTGACACCGTGTTCTATTTCACCGCTCACGTGTGGATCTCGGTAACGTATCCCGCTAACAGCAACCAGAAGTCGAACTACCCGGAGATGCTCGGGCAGATAGGGCTCGCGTTCGGCTGCGTCAACTACCTGACGACGCCGAGCGAGGCGGGGCGCGCGGCCGCGAGCAAGCAGCGCGTGCACCCCGAGGAGGCGGCGGCGTCGCGCGAGAAGCTGGCCGTGCCGCGCAAGGCGTCGCCCGAGGACAAGAGCCCGTCGCCCGGCGCCGCCGACGCCATCCAGCCCAAGATCTCGCCGCTGCTGGCGCACGCGTGCACGCCCACCACCGAGGCGCGCACCATGACGCTGTACGGCTACAACGCGGCCGCGCGGCTGCCGTTCGCGTTCTCGCACGCGCGGCGCGCGGGCGGCGGCGAGCGGCGCAGCCTGCGGGCCGCGCGGCCGCCGGGCTCAGGTCGGATGGTGCGCAGCGCCTCGTCGGGGGCGGCGGCGTCGCATGCGCCCGCCGCCCGGCTTGTAGAACGCCCGCTCGAGCCAGGTCCGCGCCGCCCTTCCGGCTTCCTTCCGCCTCCTCCGCGCCCTCCGCGCCCTCCGCGCCCTCCGCGTCCTAAACGGTTTCCGAGCGATCCATTACGATTATTGACGTTACAATTGTACTTGAAGCGCGACTGATACAATTTCCAATCTATACGTCGATTCGCAGTACAAGCGACCCAAGAGATTTTATGCGATACATCGGTATGCTCGATAACGATTAAAATCGTTATCGAGCGCTTTTAAAGCCATACTTACGTTCCTCGATGGCTTCGATCGATTAAGTAAACGATCAATTGCAATTATCGATTTTATAAAATTGATAAGTGCAGCTGATCGTGTCGGATCCCATAAAATAGTTTGTTCAATCCTAAATTACGATTCACGGGCATATTTCCCATTTTCCAAACTGTAAGGAAGGAAGCTGCGAAGTAGTGAGAAACGACCGCCTATCACTAGTAATGTAACGGACTTTGCAGGGAACACGTTCACAGGGCAGCGGCCGACGGACGGTACGAGTCGGACACACGTTGTCACGTTCACACATCGCTTCTGCTATTCCATGCAATATTTTACACGAATACAGAGTATTGACACGACTACACGCAATTGTGCACTTAACTATATTTTATTTAAATATAGCTTCAATTCACGTTTATCATGTTATAGCGAAACTAACTTGCAACTAATAAAGCCCAGTGCTACCACAGACCACTGTACGACTAATCGAATAATAGCATGAATTTTAACACGCATTGAGAAGTTCTAGACTTGCATTAGTATAGGATTTAGTGGCTTATATAGAGAAAGATTTTGGGCATTTATTTAATTTGAAATAATTTTTTTTTAAAACTTGCACGAAAATTAAAAAAAAATCACGAGAACTATATTTTTTTCTTTATTAGATATAAGAAATTCCAAAAATTTTTTAAGAAGTGATTGCTTTTATAATTTATAATCATATAAGCTTTTTAAAATATTACATATCGTAGCAGCTTTAAATAGATTAGCAAAACTATTTAAAATCAAGTCGGGTAACTTTTATTTTAATAATTTGTATTTAACAGTACTCGTACCTAGGTATAGTGGAGTGATGCAAACTCAATAATTTTATATGTCACAGTCAAATCTCTTAACTTCTTTTTTTTTTTTGGAAACTAAATAACTTTCGGCCGGCTGTGACTTTTGACGATAGCATGTAAAATGTGCAATGTATGATAACAAACAAGCAAGTGTATGGGCACGCGTTGCAGGCGGCGATAGCTCGACCCGCAGCGTGGTCTCGCTGCCGGGCAGCCCGCGCGGCAACAGCTCCTCGCTACCCGTGGTAGGCTCCGCGGAGAGCCTCGTCACCAGGGTACGACGCTTGCACTCTACTGCCATGCACTACCTAACGCCAAACATATCAGTAGCCAGCGATGAGGAACTGTTCTTGCGGTGCTACTCCTGCAACTAAAGACCTTTGTTATGTTTGATTTTGAATCACAAATTCATAGAAATATTTTATGCATTTGTGATAATTTATTTGTATTGAACTTTATATTTAGCTTATGATTGGTGCCGCACCTATCGAGGGTACATCACTACTAATATATATAATAATATGTTAGTAGTTACTAGATACTATGAATAAGTATTTATTTATATAATTGTCATTATTTTCTCGTAGCATTATCACAGCTACATTAGGTCCGTTGTTGACAAAACTCATAAATTCTCATTATTATGCAAAAATAAATAATAATTAATTTTATTATTATTATAATACCTTATTTATGTGCGTGCCAAATTAATTCAGATGAATGAAGTACGGGTAAACACATTGTAGGACGACTCCCCCCCCCCCTCCATTAGATAGAGTGACGACCTGAAATACTTTGCAGGTAGTCAGTGGATGCAGGTGGCTCAGGACTGTTTTTTATGCAGCCTATGGAGGGGGCCTATGTCCAGCAGTGGACAGATGATGGCTGAAATCATGATGATGATGACATGAATGAAGTGGTATCATGTTAAATGAGCTTATACTGTTGTAGGTACTGGCCGAGCAAGGCTTGGGGGCGTACTGCGACCCGGAGTTCGTTAAGAACACTTCCCGGGAGATGCAGGAGGCGCTTGAAATGACCCAAGAACAAATGGATAGGTGAGTTATATCATGACAGTTAATATTTGAGTACCCGGACACGCTCCATCAAGAGGTGTTTAGGCACTGTAACTGCACACACTTGTTGTGGATAGCTGTAAGAGATTCACTGAGTGTACTCTTGTTGGTTGTTGCAGGGCGGCGCATCAGTTGATGGTACAAGAGAAGAATATCAAACAAGCTCAAAACCAACAAACGCAAGTTGTAAGTATTTGATAGAACATGCCGCTGACGGTAACAAAGTTATAGGTACACACATCAACTGTGCAGTTTTCACACTATAATACACTGCTAGAATTTAACACACTTAAGTAAATTCAGAATGTGTTTTATCATAAACTAAAAGAAACTTTGGCGGCTTTACCAGTTCATGGCTCAATATTTAACCGTTTCAATTGATATAATTTCCTAAAAACTCATATTTACCCATAAACTATATATAATCATCTTCATATATACCTCTAGCCCTTCTATTTGTTTTACTGCCAAAAAGCTTTATTTTGTACCTATTGGACAGAAATCCTAGCATGTGGCGTCTAATGCGGGAAATGCTTTTTTTTGTCACTCATATTTTTATACTTTTAATCGCCCTTAATCACATCCCCAGGTGTGGCTTTTTTTGTCTTCCTGTGTGCCAATTTTAAAGAGTTGAAACTTTATGACAATGAAATTACTGGATGCAAAGCTATAGCATCTTACTCCTCAGGAGCAATGCATGACGTTATGCATTATCACATTTGGTCAGGAGAGCTGTCAGCTTGTTTGTTATTACAACATAGATGTTATATCACATAATATTTATTATATATGTAGAATAACGTGTAACATAGACCACGCGACAGTTATAGTAACACTCATAATAAAAGATTGTGTCCTACGAAAAAAAAACCCGACTTTAATTGTGAGATATCCAGTTATTTTGATCTAACAACTAAAGTACTGAACCGATTTTGATAAAATTTCAATGGGACCAGCCTGTAAGTATATACTTTCAAATAAAAAAGAACTTTCCAAATCGGTTTATAACTGACAGAGTTATAAGGTAACAAACATAAAAAAATACAACCAAATAGAAAACTTCCTTCTTTATAAAGTCGGCTGATAAAATAAAAATAAATCATATAATTAACTTAATAATTATTCTAGATATTAGTGTTATTAAAGGAATATTCAACTTGATTCACATTCTCTATGTACCTAGTGGTTTTATTCCAGCATCTAGCGAGGAATACATGACTGAAGTCGGGACCTGCACAGGTCGCTCGCAGGTCGTTCGAGTCGCATGTTGGACCCATGCCACTCGATGGTGGCATGACCTACAGTGAGACAGTATGTCCGTGCAGTGTATAATGTATGTATAGTGTAACGTTTGTGGTGTTGTAGGGCGAGATAGTGGTAGGGCGGCAATACCACCCGTTCCACCAGCCCGCGACGATGCCCCCGCCGCCTTACAAGCGGTTATAGCAGCAGCAGAACCAGAGGGCCACCGCCACCGCCATCGCCACCGCCACCGCCACCGACACCACGCCGACAAGCCGACGCGGAAACGGAAGCCTGTGCTCGTGTAGACGCTCGCGTTCACAGTTCACACAGTGGATGCAATATTTGATCGTGTGACACGTCGCACACTGAGCTGGTGTGCTCGTGGGCTGGCCCGGTGACGCTCGGCGTATCGATACGATCTACTCGACCAGGAACAACATTAGCCACTTAAGTAATTACTACTAGCCGTCGTTCACGGTACAGTGAGATTTATACATGAGTAAGAGAATTTATTAATTAAATCCCAATTAAATTAAGTTACGTGATGTATCAACTGAACTGTAATTACATAACGTATATTTCACGCGTAAACGACTCGGAGCTCTGTTTGGATCTCATGCGGAGTTTTCATGTGAAACTTCGATAATTTTGGCTCTTTATAATTTAATGTAATTTTTCGAATTCTGAGAGAGAAAGTATTTATCTCGAAAACAATAATATTTAGAGGTAATTCTAATAATAAGTAACATGTGGTTGCGTGAGTCATTCTAGCTTTAGCTGGCCCTATCTCCGCATATATGTATATAATAAATACCTGTACGGGGGACCGATATCGATTACTTTCATTAAAGCATACTCATACAACTTGCTATTGTATATTGTGAAAAGTTTTCCCACTCATTACAAGTGGGCATCCCGTCACAATAAGTTTACACAGTTCACATTACTACTACGTAATTACAATTTATTTGAATTATTTTCAACACATCCAATTTTATAACCGTCATAGTTTTTCTATCAAATTGTAAATGTGCAATTTGTCAAAGTTAAATTATAATACGAGTAGTCACAGGAGATACCATAGGTGCAGGTACCCGTACATACATACGTGTAGGTGTACGTGGACCACACTTTCCAGCATCGCGACGCCATGACAATACCAGATAGGAAGACCTATCGTACTGATTGTGTGTAGCCCTCCAATAGACATATGTAACTTTACTAATTATTGTAGAATGCATCATCAGGCACTACGTGTACTACGTACTCGCAGCACACAGCGCGCACTCATTTCGCCGACACATTAACATAAGGAGATTTTCAAGTAAATTATGGGACTAATACGTACAGTGTGTAAACATTAAGAGCCTTTATATACGAGTACATTTCATAGCCTCTATTTTTAACCGACTTCAAAATAAGAAAGAGTTTCTCAATTTTTTTTTTTTTTTTTTTTTTACTTTTGTTACTTCTTAATTTTGTCAGTTTTAAATGTATTTGAAAAATTCTACTTTTTTTTTCATCTATAAGAATATACTTATAGATTGTTCTCGTAGAAATTTTATTAAAATCAATTCAGTGATTTTTTTTTTATTTTTTTTTTAATCAAAATGGCTAATTTTGTCGCAATTGAAGTGAACGGTTTTTTATTGTGGGATGCAATTTTTAATTATTAAGAACTACCAAAGTACCAGAAGGTGAAACATGAAATCTCACACTCAACATTGTAATGTTTCCAAGTAATATACGAGTACTATTGTCACTTTTTTTTTTCTTTCTCTGTCTGCCCAAAAGAATGCCCGTTCAGGCAAGCTTTAAACCAATCCATCAGTAGATACTTTTGCGTCACTATCTGCATGAGAAATAACGAGATCCGGACGTACCATCCCATTATATCGCAAAGTCAACAGCAGGTACCTAATTGTGTAAATATATGTCAAAAGTACATTTGTTTGCTGCGTATAAATAAATATAATGACGTGGATATTATTGTCCTTTTGTTGTTCGCCGATGGATTTTTATTATGAATTTTTCTACATTTGAAAGCGTAACGTATTAAAATTTATTTAATTACCGTTAGCACAGATATAGAATTGAAATTTTTGTATAACGTTAATCGGAATCAAACGTGCAGTATTATTATAATTATGAAGAATTATTATATTGCAAGATTTACGTGTCGGTAGTCGTGTAGGTAGGTACCACTTTCAAGTAAGTGCCCTTTTAAATGTTGCAAACGACGGCGCGGCATCAGGACGCCAGGACGTTGCGACGCGACCTAGTCCCGGCCGTACCATGTACTCCGTTTACCCATGTACCACATTCCTCTAGAATTAAGAGAACTTTTTTTTTCTATTTGTCTGTGGCCTCTTTAAGTAAGTATTCTTATAAATTAATCGGGGTCAAATAGCTTTACTATGAACATTCTTCCGACGAACCTCTCTTTGAAGTGCCAATTTATAACCTTGTATCAATTTTATAGTACCTTAATAAACAATAATCGCGAGTGGTTTTTTTTTTTTTTTAGTGAACTACTTCATTCAATTTTTGTTTTTGTCCACTAATGTTGCTGGAGACTGTACTGGACCTGGATATATTTTTACTTTATTTTGTACTGTTTCAATTTTTAAGAAATTAATGGATGGCGTTTAACGCCGTATTCTCAATTTTTTTCTACAAGTATTTGCAAAGGCGGTGCGTCGCTTTCTGCATTTATTTTCAAAATCAACAATTAAATAACTTTTTTTTTTTTTTTTTTTTTTTGTTTTCATACTGACTGGATTACAAAACAACTCCTCTTGGAATAGTATTCGTAATTCTATTAGGTACTTAGGTACTTATTTATATTTTCCCAATGAAAGAAATATTCTATTAATGTTCTGATTTATTGTTATAATTTCTATTTTAAATGATATTGTAAATTGCTAGACAAGGGTGAAAATTATATTTGAATAATAATAAATTATATATATATATATATATATATATATATATATATAGTCAAAATTTTTAATACAGTACGGTGATGTGTGTATTTTATGACTTCTTAAATTTAAAAAGAAAATCGTATTTGTAAATATTGTACAAATGAATTCAAAACTCATAATAATAGCATTATTATTGTTCGCAACTCAAAGGTTAAGTTGTTTTTTTTTTTTTTTTTTTTTTTTTTTTTTTTTTTTTTACAATGTAACAGCGCGGCGGGTGGCTGCAACGGACTGTCACTGTATATAATTATATGTAAATATATTGAACATTGTGACACATGTATTTATTCCGTCAATCTTATTACATTGAGATAAATTACTAATTATCTATATTTATTGTTTCAAAAGAAATATTGTAAAATTGTTTTCATATAATTAAAAACGTGCGAAAATATTGTCGTTTTATTTCCTCGTTTAGATATATTTTATGTATAATTGGTAGGACCAGGCGGCTGCAGAGACGAGCCGATGTGTTCACAACTGACAACACATCGCCACAGTATAGCATGATCTGTACATGCAAAGTTACAAACAAACAAACAAACAAAATATATAATACGAGTTAATAGTGGAACATATGAACGCAGCGTGTACAGTGCTACCTTAACTACTAATAAATGTCGTAATAAAACAACTACTTTCTCATTACATCTAATATATAAAATTCTCGTGTCGCGGTGTTTGTTACCAAACTCCTCCGAAACGGCTTTACCGTTTTCTATGAAATTTTGTATGCATATTAGGTAGGTCTGAGAATCGGCCAACATCTATTTTTCATACCCCTCAATGATAAGGGTGACCTACACCTTATTTTTTTTTTTTTTTTTTTTTTTTTTTTTTTTTTTTTTTTTTTTTTTTTTCTGTCACTGTCATAGCAGTGACTGTAATACGTCATCATATCATTTTAACTTTTCAGTGCAACTTTCATGTTAATTTTATTCTCATAGTGAATTTATTATTTTTTTTTTTTTTTTTTTTTTTTTTTTTTTTTTTTTTTTTTTTTTTTTTTTTTAAGTTGCTATTAAGTGATCATTGGTACTTTGAACAAGGCATATTTAATTCTACGTTCAAAATCAAAGACTAAGTTTATCACAAAGTGGGCTCATTGCATACATAATAAAAAAAAAAAAAAAGCTGATAATGAAAAACGTTATCGAAATTCAGAAGCGAATATATATTGCTACCACGAATTGCGAATATATATTGTATATTAAATCATTTACTAGTATTTAATCTGAGTTATGTACAATAAAGATTTTTACAATACAATCCCTATAATTACTACAGATATGCCAATTAAATTCAAATGCATTTAATTCCCAATTAGATTGGCATTCGCAATGACGATCAATAAGTCTCAAGGCACACCAGGCCAAACGTTGTCTGTTTGTGACTTAGATTTGGGTACACCATGCTTTTCCCACAACTACATGTAGCATGTTCTCGCGTGGGGAAACCTTTCAGATTATTTGTATTGGCTAAAAAGAACTGACCAAAAATATTGTAGTCTCCATTCGCTGAGAGATTAATCTTTGTTGATTTTTCAAATATACAAAAAAATAATAAATTATCGGTGTTGTCAATCTATAAATATTGAAATTTAATATGTATTTGTTTATTATGTATTATGAATAGTTTTATTAACATAAATAAAATAATTTAATTGCCTACAACACTTCATTCCTCTTTCGATTATAATTACATCCTAACACACCTATAGTGTTAGGATATAATTATAATCGATTATATCTATTTTTGATTGAAATAAAAAAAAATATTTTCTAAAAATAATGTATATGGCAAAACAACGTCTGCAGGGTCAGCTAGTAATTTATAAAAATAGCAATCAATAGCGGCTCAAGCAGGGAACCCTGCGGTCTCTGAGTAGGTAGAATGTGGCCTGTTTAAACAGGCCACATAGGGCCATGGCGATCCGCATTATACGCGGATACCGCACTATCTCCACGGAGGCGGCGTGTACGATGGGCGGGCTTGCCGCCCTAGGAGTTGGAGACCAATGCCTGTGCGTCGGTCTATGAGCGGCGTGCGGAGCAGAGGCGCCAGGACGCCGAGTCTTCCAGCCTGGAAGTTGCGCTGCGGAAGTCTCACGTTTGACGGGTCCTGCAGCGGGAGTGGGAACAGAAGAAGTGGATGGACAGGCGGCAAAGGCCGGTGACCTTCAAGATGACACAGATATTGTTCGGGCATGGGTGCTTTGGGCGATATTTGTGACATGTCGCACGCAAGGAGCTGACAGAGGAGTGCTATGCTTGTAAAGCGGACCAGGACATGGCGGAGCATACGCTGGAGGAGTGCCCAGCGTATGCCGATGAGCGGGGTGTCTTTTCCGCGGTAGTGGTGAAAGATCTCTCTCGCTGTCCGCCGTGGTTCGGAGGATGGCGAGCAGAAAGAAAGAAAGAAAGAAAGAAAGAAAGAAAGAAAGAAAGAAAGAAAGAAAGAAAGAAAGAAAGAAAGAAAGAAAGAAAGAAAGAAAGAGAGAGAGAGAGAGAGAGAGAGAGAAAGAAAGAAAGAAAGAAAGAAAGAAAGAAAGAAAGAAAGGAAGAAAGAAAGAAAGAAAGAAAGAAAGAAAGAAAGAAAGAAAAAAGAAAGAAAGAAAGAAAGAAAGAAAGAAAGAAAGAAAGAAAGAAAGAAAGAAAGAAAGAAAGAAAGAAAGAAAGAAAGAAAGAAA